GAGGGCCATTCCTTTCCATTCTCAGGTCGAACAACCTGGTTAGGGCCATTCCTTTCCATTCTCAAGTCGAACAGCCTGGTTAGGGTCATTCCTTTTCATTCTCAATGTTAATGCCCGAGGGGTTGGGCCTCGAGGTCACGGATCCCGTTTCTGTCTCGGAGGTTAGAAGGTGACAATCTCATCTCAGTTTTCAGCGTGCTGTTCCCTTTTTCCATTTCTCACAGTCGTGCACTATCCATGCATACATCCGACTTAGCGTCTAGTACTCGAGTTGGGGCTCGCGACCCCAGGCAGCACTAGCCCACCCGGTCGTTCACCCATAGCAAAAGGCAGGGGCGCCCCCTCTTATTTTCACTCGTTCAGATGACTCAGACCTTGGCTATTCTCAGACTCCTTCATGACTCAGTTGGATTAGGCCCCTAGGGAAGGAGCGTTCTTCACGCCCCTTAACCCATAGGTTCCCTAACCTCTCTTGTACTCGACCATCATTCAATGCCTTGCTCGCTCGTCAATCTTTACTCAAAGTTTCTTTTCTCAAAAGCACAATCCTTATCCCATCCAAAATTCACAATACATCCTCCACAGCTGGTCTCATCCCATCCCCCATATCAATGTCTCGTGTACCCACTTTCAAAGGTAGCTCATCCAGAAAGTAGCCTCAAAAGCTTTCTTCTAATCTTATTGTGCCACAGTCTTAGCTGACCCTCTTATCACTTCATCCTTAGCAAGCTTACTCATACTATACACGTTCTTGTCGTTCCCATGTCTTTGCAAACAGAAAAGCAGGAATCCTGTTTAATGCTAAATCAACATCTAGTTCCTATTGTTGCCTTGTGCCTCAGCTTGCTCAATTCCTTGTCCACCCTGCTCATCGGCAGGCTTTCTAACCCCCAGGCCGAAGATCTCGATTTCCCTCATTTTCTTCGCAATTTCCTGTAGTTCCACCTCACTGAAAAAGTCCAAAGGCGTGGCTTCCATCCCTGCCTTTGTGAGTTCTCGGGCCTTGATGATCCACTCGTGCCTGATCACATTGGTCCATTGCTGAAACCAATGACTGGGCGTTGGCCCAAACTCATCCTCCCATCTGAAGGCCTCATCACGCGGCTGGTGCATCGGAGGCCGCCTCTCTTCCCTAGGCCTGGAGATTTCATCCCGCTCATCCCCGCTGTTGATTTCTATGTTCTCTTGTACATCCTCCTTCTCATCCTCCTCCTCATCCTCCTCGTCCTCCGTCTGTATGGGGCTATACCCTCCCGCTAGATTCTTTGGATCGTAGGTATAAGGAATCTTTGTCTTTGTCCCATACCCCTCACAACTGCCGTGGCCGCTTCGTCCTTCAAGCGGGCTGTCTCTTCTCTCCTCCCCATCCTCACGCTCGTCGTGCATGTCCTGTCCCCCCTCGCTTTCCCCATGCCATGTCTCACGTCGTTTGCCCCTGTTGGCTCCTTTCTCGCCAGAGGCCTGAGCCTTATCTCCCATATTTGCATTGCCCCCTTCTCCCACATTTGCCCTTTCCTTCTCGCCCTCAATGTCAGATGAGATTTCTATACCTTCTCCCTTGTGGAGGGGCGAGGGTCTTCTACATACACACTTTTTTCCACCCCTGCCTACCACCAGCCCGCCCATGAGCCCTATGTACAACTTTCTCTTTAGTGTCCTCCTCCCTTGGCTTGGTCCTGCTTCTTTCCTTCCGGTAGGCCTGTTGATTGCCCCGCTATCGTTCTCGTTGCCGAATTCCATTTTTACTTTTTCTTGTGCTTTTCTTCTTCTAGGTCCTGTATAACAAGACAACACCCGCAAAACCCCCCCTCATACACCCGTTTCCCTAGTTCGGTAAGCAGTTCCCCTTTCCCCAGAATGCTCCCAGTATCCTTCGCATCATGCCCCTTTTACTCATTTCCCTCCCTTATGCAAATGCGCCGTTTGTGAAGATCCCATTATTTTCCCGTCAAAAACTATGATACAATGCCCCAACAATCCTTACCGTCGTCACACAAACCCGTTACCGCAAATCCCCAAGTCACCCTGCATTTCAACCTCAATCAGTCCAAGCCATTGCCCCAGTCAAAAAAATGACAGTCCCACGGACGCAGTCAGAGACAGAATGAAAAGTGTGGACAAGGCCGATGTCAATCCTCGGCTTGTAGCCTTTTAGTTTCCCTGTCCTCGACGTCCTGAAGCCATTGTTCCACTGGGTCCCGACTTAGAAACCTAACCAGTCGTTGCCCCGGGAAGGGTCCTTTCAATCCAGTTCCATCCAAATCTTCTAGTTCGAAAGTGTTCAGCCCCACCCGCTTGGGGACCCGGTAGGGCCTTTGAACCTCCTCCCCAATTGTCCAGACCAAGTACTTTCAAGTGCCGAATTCCTTACCAATACCATCTCCCCCACTTGAAGTGGCTCCTTTCTGACATTCTTAACTTGGTCCCACCTTGCTTTGTCCCTCATTTTGTTGTCTAGTACCCGGTTGGCGATGTCTTCCATGACTTCTTCGTTCTTAAGGACTTGTCGACATCTTGCCTCGATTAACTCTTCCGTGGTCATTCGCGGATCATCATCCAACTTGTTCCAGGTAGGTATCAAGGCCTCAATGGGAAAGTCGATCTCCCTCCCGTACCAAAGTTCCGCTGGGATACATCCCGTCGTCCTTTTAGGTGTCATGTTCTCTGAGAAGACAGCCTGCTTGAGATACCTCGGCCAGCTTCCCAGATGATTCGCTGCGAGCTTCGCAATCGTGTTCTTTAAGGTTCGGTGCCCTCTTTCCACAGGTGCATTGGCCTCTGGGTGATACGGCTCGATGAGTTTGATTGGTACGCAGAGTCACTTAGGCATCCCTAATACTTCTTGGTTCACAAATTTTGTCCCATTATCCGCTATGAATCTCCTGACGAAAGGATGCCTCAAGTAGAAGTCTTCTATCCAGTCTGCTACACTTCTCCCTATCTTTTTCTTGAGAGCGACCGCCTCCGCGAACCCACTCAAGGTGTCTCGCGCATCTAGAATATACCTGTACCCATTTGTTGATACAGGCATGACCGCAAGGTCAAGGTGGACCAGATGTCCCGGCCCTAGCACTCGCGTAGGTCTAAGCGGCTCAAAGACACGTGCCGAGCTTCGTTCTTGGCAGATAAGGCATGTTTGGCAATATATGGCGACCATGCTTGCCATGCCTGGCCAATAATAAAGTGTCGTTATCTTTGCGAGAGTCCCTTTGGAAGACCGATGCCCTCCCGCTAACCCGTCGTGCATTGCCTGGATAACATATAACTGCCTAGATCTTCCGCACAAAACTCTTTTAGGCATAGCACCTTCTTCTCTTCGGTACAGATGGCCGCCCCTTTGGACGTACCTTTCGGCCTCCTCCCTTGCCTGAGTGCTGACTTCCGTGGGTTGCTTGTTTCCTACCAGCAACAACCCGATCTCCCGAAAGATCCCTTCGTATGTCTGGGCATAGAAAAACTCCTTCTCTTCGTGGTCCTCATCCTTTCTCTCTTGCATCTGGTTTACCATCCATTGCAAATTTTTCTTCTCCCAAGATTCCACTAAGCTCATCACGGCTTCCCGGCCTCCCTCAACCGCCATTGCTATTAGCTCCTCCTTCGGTCCTACTATTGCTCCCATGAATCTCTCTCCTCTTTACGATCTCGAGTGGTGACGGGTCCTTCTCTAAGTTCTGCTACTACGGCAGGCGCCACCTTCTCCAAAGTCCAGGTCAACAGTTCTCCCGACGCGCATTCTTCGCCCATCATTTCGTTGTCCACCGCAAGAGTTCCTCCTTCGAATTCAAGGAACGCGTCTATGGGCTCCGCCTCTTCCACCCCTTCTGGAGTGATGCAAACCCGGCTCAACCCATCGGTGTTGTTTTTGATTCTCGCAATCCGTTCTATCTTTTTTTTTTTTTTTTTTTTTTTAAAGACAGCCCCATCCAGTGCTAGGGGTGTTGGTAAAAGCAGACACCACTAGCACAAGGGGATGGCTCCATCTATTGGTGGGGAGCGTCACTTGCTGGAAATCGGGTTCAGCGTCCCGTACACAGAAGGAAAGCATCTGTTCTATCTTGTAATCGAACTGCCAGATAAATCCTACCCATCTCCCCACCATCGGATCTATAGGCCTGTAATTCTTTAGGGCCCCCGCAACATTTGTCAGATCGATCCTAAGGATGAACCGCCTTCCAAATAGGTAGGCCTGGAAGGTCTTGAGGCAATGTAAAATGGCTAAGACCTCCTTTTTGAACTGCGAGTACCGCCGTTCTGCGGAGTTCAAGGTTCTACTTTCGAACCTAATCGGTCTCTCTCTCCCTTCCTCATCCCGTTGAATCAGCACGCCTCCTACGGCCAAGGGTCCTCCATCCGTTGTTAGGATGAATGGTCGTCCCACTTCGTCATTAAAACAAGGCGCTGACAAGGCGACTTGCTCAGATGTCAATATGTCCTTAAGGGTTTGGACAGCTCCTTCTCGCTCCTCCGTCCAATCCATGGTTCCCTCTTCTCTGATCATGGCCCGGATAGGTTTGGCAATCTTGGCGAAATTCTTAATGAAGATCCTCCAAAACCCGACTACGCCTAGGAAAGCTCTTACCTCCGTTGTCGCGCGCAGGGGTGTTGGCCATTGTGATATCTTGTCTTTCTTTGCAGGGTCTGGCCTCCTACCATAAACCCCGCAGCGAAATCCTAGTATAGTTACTTCCGGTACTGCTAAAATACTCTTTGGCCCGCTAGCCGTGATGTTATACACTAGGAACCGTCGGAGTAAGTCCTTAATGCCGTGCAGATGGTCCCATACAAATCTTTGAATCCCCGGCTGGACTTCAGTCTCGTCCTTCTCTTGAGCGCCTTTGATTGGGTTGTCATCAATATAGGGCTCACATTTTTCTGGAAACATGTCTCCGGCTACGGCGAGCATTCTCCTTTGTGCCTCGGCTACCGCGTTCGTAAAGCCCATAGGAGTCACTTGCATCTGCAACTGTCCTACGGGGGTGTGCATTGCGGTGTACAGCCTGTCCCGGACATCCAATGGAAGCTGGTCGTATCCAGAGTACAAATCGATCAGGGAGTAAATGCTCCGAACGGCGGGCGACTCTGCTAATAAATCAGCCTGAGGTAGCGAGCCAGCATCCGGGATGGTTACCGCATTCAACTTCTGCAGATCCTAAATCCACCTTAGCGTCTTGTTGGGCTTTTGAAAGACGAACCACCGATTTGCGTATGGCGACGCCGTAGGTTCTGCGACGAAGGAGTCCATCTTCGCTCGAAGAAGGTCTGTCACTTCCCCTGCTATCCCAAATTCATAGGACGGACCCTTGTCATTCCAGCACTCATGTTCTACTGTGTGGATTTTGACCGGAGGAATCAGCTTCGCATCCAGCCGCCCCTTTTGGTGATCACTAAAGGCGAATGCCAGGTGAAACTCTTGGCAGGTCCTTTTGATCAGGTGGTTTTCCTCTTTCGTTAGAAATCCATCTACCCCTATCTTCATCGTATCAGCTACCTCATCTGGTATTCGATGCCCTTTCGTCGCTCTTCTCTCTTGGATTACTTGAAGGACTTCCTCTTCCTTCTCCATAGCCTCTTCCTTTGATGTCTCTAGCAGGATCGAGACCGGTTTTGCTTTCTTCCCTACCGGCTTCTACTTTCGAACACTTCCTTCCGGGATCTTTCTCCTAAAAAATGAACGGTCGGGATTGCCCTTGTCGCCTCTGCAATTCGTGGTTGAATACTAACTAATTTTTCATTCAAGCAATACCCCTTTTGCACCTCTCCTTCGAATTTGGCCAGGGCCGCCGAGTCCACTCCTACCTTGTGGTATCTGAGGGACTTGATGAGTTGTAACAAATCCGGGATCTCGAGCGCGACTTCCGGCACGTCCATGCGTACTTCTTTCCGTTTGGGCAGACTGGCACCGAGTTCGACTTCTGACTCATTTTCTGCTACCATAACACCTAAGACTTCGTCCTCCTGCCTCCTCTTCTTTTGGGGCAGGCCCATCTTGATTCATTCCTTCTTGTTGAATGTTTCCTCAATCATAAGTTGTACCCTTTCTCTCATTCCCTCCATCCACTCGAAAGCCCCTTTTCGTGCGCTATCTTCGAATGGCGGCGACCATGTTGCCAATTTCCCCTTCGGAGGGTCTCCTCCCGTCCCGAGGAGTCGGAGGAGCTCACCTCGGGCGGTCACCGGGTCCTCTATATCTACCATGTACGTGCCATCGTGCAAGTGCATGCCTATCATTTCTACGATTGCGCACCATGGCCTCCCGAGGATAATGTCGTGATCCATCTCCTCCATTACGGTCATCTGCTGAAACGACCAGGTTGACTCCCTGATTCTCGCCTTGACTGCACATTTCGTGACATACCCTGCGAACGGAATTTCCCCACCGGCTCCCTGGATGCTCCCCGTTACTTCCTTATTTACCGTACAGCCCGTGATTGTCGCGAAATCTCTCCTTATGAGAGTGATTTCTGCTCCCCCGTCTAATGATGTGTCGGTATGATGAGTCCCGATCTGAATCTTCAATTTCCCTACAAGTAGCGCATGGAAACTGAGCTTTGTCCCAGGAGGTGCCCTCATGACTTCGCCACCTTCTCGGTCTGGCAAGCTCAAACGGATGTCTGCAAAGGCTTTCTTAAGATCCTCTAGATCACCGCGACTCCTTTGAAGGTTAGCAACCTCTTGCGGAGCTTCCTCCTCCCTTTCTTCTTCTGGTAATTCGGGGTTGTCATCTATTTCTACTCGTCGTCGAGTCAACAGTTGTCTAAGCCCTTTGAGCAACCTAGGGCTAGCCTGCAGCATGGTCCGAAACGACACCGACACCATGGTTCCTAGCAACTTGCTAAGGGTGTCGTCGATCTCGGGCAAGGTTAAGATCGCAATTTGATACCGAAACTTCTTCTTGGCAGCGGTAACCTTGTCCGCAGGCTCCTCTTCCCTAGGCTTCCCATAGACTTTCTCTGGCTCCCCTGCCTCAAGCTCTGCCTGGGGTACGGAGCTTCCAGCAACTTCCTCCATCACGGTGTCATGGATAATCCTTCTCCCGGTCGTCCCTAGCTGAGTAGTCGCGTTCACCCTATCACGTCCGTCGTTTTCCAAAATGAAGTTCGCCTGCAGCCTGCGGCCCCGAAGTTGATCCCAGATGATTTCGACCACCGTCTTAGCTTCTACGGTCGCTATCTCTAGCCCATTGAGCATGATAACGGCTCGCCGCATCCCCCCTGGCGAGTTCCAATTTACCCGTTCTCCCTGTGGTCCGAATATCTCTCCCTTTAACGACCTGATACATCTCCTTTTTAATATATCATGGTTGAGTTTTGGACATGCGCGCGCATAATGTCCCATCACGGTGCAGTATCTGCACTGCTTGTTAGCCGGATCTCTCCGTCCGAATCCTCGATTGGCTACCCCGGGCGGAACTACGGCTTCCTGGGGAGGGAGGGCGGGTCGGGATACTTGCGCCTGCATAGCCAGTAGTGCGTTTTCCACCCTTTCAATTTTGTGGTCGACTCCGTGCACCCGTTCGTGTAGGCTTTCAATCCCCTTCTTTACCTTGTCGCCTGTCTTACCGATCAGGTCTATGACCTCCCCTTCCTTAAGCAAGGCCAACGTCTCGGTCACTACCATCTTTTCGGCCAGGTCCGTTACGGTGCTAAAATCCACATCCCTGGTGTTTACGAACTTGCTCGTCTGCTGGTAGGCTGACAGAATCTTGTCTTTGTCGAACTCAGAGAACTGCCTAAGGAAGTATTTGCTCATTATTCGGTCCGTAACCCCGGGGATCCTTAGTGCTACCAGAGTGAACTCGCGTAGGAAGTCATTATACGTTGCCAAGTTCTTCCTCTGAACTGCCGCTAAGTCGGCCTCCGTAGCCATTTTCTCTGCTGCCAGATATTTTCTCATCATCACATCCCGGGTCTCCTTCCAAAACCGACTTGCGGCCACAATGGCCATTATGTCCCGCCCTAGGCTTAGTGACACATGCTGTCGTAGGTGGTCCATCTTTTCTTCTTCTGTCCATTTCAGTAACGCAGCTAGGTTCTCATAGTCGATTAGAAACTCCGTGATATTTGCCCCGTCGAACGTCAACTTTTTCTTAGCGTCCGCTAGGTAGCCCTGATTTTTGTTCAGTGCTCGTGCGATGGATGATACTATCTTCTTAAGGCCGCCCTGGGAACTACTGGCCTCGCCCGCCATACTGGTATCCGGTCCTTGCCGACCTTCTGTCCCTCCCTAGTCTTTGCAGTTCCTTCCGGGTCGAACCATCCCAACACCCTTTCCCTAAGGCTCCAGAGCCCTTCACACCCCCGCGTTACCGTCGGCGTAGTCGGCAAACGGCTAGCCCTACTATCTATGGCTGGTGGGTTTGTAGCTTTCTCCGCTTCCATCCCCGGAGAGTTCTCTCTTTCTTTCCTCCTTTTGCTCGGCGTTCCCCCACGGTCGCTACCCTTATCCCCTTGCCCAGTTCCGCCTTGGCCGGTCCTCCTTTCGTCCCGCAGTTCTTCCTGTAGAGGGCCTTCTTCGTTCCCAGTCATCATTTCCTCGATCAATCTTGCCTTGGACTCCGCGGTCCTCTTTTCTATCTCTGCTAGTTTGCGCCTCGCGTCCGTGACCCTTACTTTCTTAGACACAGCTCCCTCTTAATTTTGGGGGCTTGTCCTATCCTTATTCCTGCCCTCCTTGGTTTCCTGAGTCCCTTGCCTGCTTCCCCCGACTTTCCCCGAGCTTTCCCCTGAGCAGATTTCCTTCTGGTTCCCTTTGGTACCATCCAGATTTATCGATACCTTGTCTTTCTGCCCTTCCTCGCTTTGTACGGCACTGCCTCCTAAGCCTGGTCCTCCTTCGCTCTTACGGTTACTCGTCTCGTCCTCTGTTGCCATTTTCCCCAGTTCTGCATAAACCAGAGAATTCCCCAGGACACACGCAACGCAAGGCATTTAGGTTCCCTACGTTCCGGCTTCGTTGGCTTATCTTTATTTGGGAAATAGCCTTCCCCCTATTTTCGTTTCTTGATTGCTTCCCTAAGAAGGAACCACGACTGACCCTGCTGCCCTGCCGAGCTAAGGGCGTGACTTAGTTTCCTTTATCACAGGCTCGTTTAGAGCGCCCTTGCCCCGTCGAGCCGGTGCGTAGGAGTCCGGGTTAGGCATCCGGCTAGGGAAAGTTTCCCAAGCAGTATTCCCCTTTTCGACCTTCAGGGTCATGGCAACCATTAGGAGTCTACCCCCTCCCCCCCGTTATTCTTTAGTGGGTTTGGATCGTCCGGGTCCGAAGCCCTTCCTCATTTCCATTGGCGGATTTATACGTAATTTGCCCTACTAGCCCGTCCCTGGAGGCTAGTCCCGTTCTCGCCCTCGTGGCCCTTCTGGTTCGGTAGGCTCCTCGAATAGTTGCGCCACCCCCGCTAGATAACTTTCCCCTATCTCGATTTCCCTTTGGATTATGCGTTCGCATCCCGCCCAGTCTAGCTGTGGCGCCCTAAACATCACGATGTGGATGACTTCCAGTAACTCGTGGGCCCTGTTTCCGCAGAACGGCCCATGCTCCACAGCGACATCGTAGAACATCCCAATGGTGGGGGAGGGGAAGTGGTCTACCCAGACTATCGCCGAGTCTGCCAGCTCCTGCGCCCTCGCGAGGCTCCCGAAGACGAGGTCTATCATAAAACGGGGAACTCGGCCCCTCAGCGGTGTGGTTGGTGCCCTGAATTCCCTCCAACCTCCCATTTCCACCCGGGTAAGTAAATCCACGTTTCTTCTACCCCTGACTAATTGTCCTATCCGTGTCAACACTTGGGCCGCCCTTCGAAAGACGGGAGCCATATCGTGGCCTTGCGCTATTCCTATCCCCAGCAAGTGTCACCCAGCCTCGGGTAGGTACAGGACCCCGGTTACCTCTAAACTGGAGAATAGAACATCCCCTGGTCCCCGGTTGATTCTCATCCCCGTCCACCGACATTCTACCAACATGAAGGCGGTGTCTCTCCCCAAAGTTACGGCCCGCCATTCTACGTCGAATCCCCGATAGTTGGAACTCGATGGGAGGGATACTTCACATCGTCCGCCGTTATTCCAGGGCGGTCCGGGGTACCGGGGCTGGCGTTCCATTCGCACACGTCTTGCTGCCATTGTCGCCTTGGTGATTCCCTGCATAGTCCACATAGAGAGGGTTACAGCCAATCCTTAGTAAACGTCCGCCCGCTGCCCCCTTACCCTTCAGGTTCTCATTCTTTTTCTCTGATCCCAACTATCCCTCCATATCCCCAGGAGCGGCAACCCCCTCCGGTTGTTCGTACAGTCGGTAAAGGTCATCTATGTAGGTTGCGCCCCGGCCTACTTCCCGCCGGATGACTCTCCACATAGCCTCATCACTTATTTGCGGAACTCCTGGCCTAGTATTTACTGCCGCTCGTAGTATACAAAGCACCTCGTGTCCCTGTTCCTCTTCAAAAGGCCCCATCTCTAGGAAGGCTCGGTAGTATTCCTGATACATTAATGCTTCGTCAAAATCTAGCCTAGTTATGGCAGCTACTGCCTGCTCCACTCGCTCTACGCCTCCCATTCGTCTTAGTAGAAAGGGTGGCATACTCATTCGTACGACCTCATTTGGTAACTCAAAGACCCCTGCTGCAGCGACTTTTACCTCCGCCGTCACGTCATATCGTTCCAGATCCGCAAACTCAAATCCCTCCCGCCAGGTTATTTGCCATGCTCCTTCGAACATTCGCACGGGGTCGTCCCCGGACGCTAAGGCAATCCCAAAGGTCGCCATCCTTCTTCTGACAGGTGTAGGGATCCCGTCGCATGCACGCGCCCTGGGAGGTTCAAATTTATGCCCCCGAACTCTCTTCTCGCACGCCACTCCAGCTCTACTACTAGGTACACCGTGTCTTCTCGCACGCCACTCCAGCTCTACTACTAGGTACACCGTGTCTTCTCGCACGCCACTCCAGCTCTACTACTAGGTACACCGTGTCTTCCACCAATTCTACCCCCACCCTGCCCCCCGATGCTCTTGGTGGTAGGATCCCGGCCAAGGCCACGACCACGCTCTCACTTGATGCTGCGCTGCTGCCAAGGGCGCTGACAGGGCACGAGAGGTGAGGTGGGGTGCTGCAGGGCAGCGCGGCGCAGGCGGCCATAGCCGGGCTGCTTGGCGCCAGGGGGTACAGCGGATGATCGGGTGGTCTTCAGGGAGTGAGCCACTGTGTGGGGTAGTCAAGGTCTGATTGAGGGTGGCGAGACACGTACCTGGTACATGAAGAGAGGTCGCCGATGGTGTGGACAGTCATGTACATTGGTCTTCGTGAGCCGAAGTGATCCTGTTGTGTGAACCAGCTGTAGCGTACGATAGTATGGTAGAGTAGGCTGGGCGCTGTGCGCCAGACAGAGAGACGACTCTGGATACTGTGTTGGTGTGGCCTACGGGCTTGGACATTGGCTCAATACTTCATTGTATTGCTCTTTATGGATGGTTTTCTCGGTGCATTTGTACTCTCTACTTGGGATACTACTACTTGCTCAGCTGTGTGATTTCGCAACTTGGTCTTATGTATATCGCTCACACTCATATTCCTTGCACGTGTTTCAAGATATCGACCCCGAGTCCTTTTTTTCCTGCATTCTTTGTGTTTGATCAAACCCCTAGAGTGGTAGGGAGCGAAAGCGAGATACAGGGGATGCATGATTTCCCCTCTTGCCCCTCTACCCCCCATGTTGATGTGGTTGCTGTCTGCTGATTGGCATCTCCAAAGACGTCAAAATTCAAATTATTGCTTTTCTTTTCATTTTGCTTTTTTCTCCCAAAATAGCCATATGGGGCCAGAATTCAAATCATTGCTTTTCTTTTCTTTTTCCCTCTTTATGAGACTTCATCCCAAAATAGCCGTATGAGTTTTTTCCCCCTGGAGAGAGGCAGTCTGATTTGGGCTTCTTTGTTCTTTCGTGTTTTCTTTGACCCTGGCCATTTACGGATCAGTCCTCTGTGAGGCTTTAGGCCCCCACAGCAATTGTCTGCGACCGGAAAAGAGGACAAGGCAGTTATAAGCGAAGGCAGGCCTGATAAACGGTTGCCGGCCCTAAGTAAAGATCGGCAAGGGGTCTTTTGGGCTTGGTCAAAGCTGCCAGCCTCTGAGACTAACCGGTGGGCCCAGCCTGCGAGTTAGTTGCAGAGGCTTGGACCTGGAGACAGTCCCAGTAGGCCGCAGGCACTGCCTACTGGGCTGGAGGCGGCCTCCACTAAGGACGGAAGGAAGGAGGCTGCCAAGGAGAGCACATTTGGGCAGATTGCTGCAAGGCGGAAGCACTGTTGCACAGCATACAGGAAAGCTGCAGAGGCTGCGAGCGAGCACCAGCCATAGCTGGGCGCAGGGAAGCAGAGTGGCGGATTGTGGGAGATCAGGACGAAGGAAGGCAAGGGGTACTAACTGTTCTTACCTGATGTTCGCGGAGGAAGCTTGTGTGCGCAGAGTCTTCAGACAGCATTGGGGGAGTGACATGTGGACACAGATTAAGGTGCCAGAGGAGTGACATGTGGACAGAGAGTGAGATGGCAGGGGAGTGATACGTGCACAGAGAGAGATGTGGTAGAGGCTAGCATGTGTAGAGGTAGTAGGAAGTGGAGTAGGCCAGTCCGAGCCACCACATTGTCGTTGCATTGATGTTTGGAGCCGAGAAGTCGGCCTTTCTTTATCGAGAGCCTTCAGTGTTCTGTCTGCTCCTAATTGGTGTGCACCCAACTTATGCCCAGGTGCCCGGCCGGGCATGACCCCCGGGCAGGGTTCCGGGAAGCCCCAACGCAAAAACAAAATAAAAAATAAATTTCGGAAAAAGAAAATATGTTGTGTAAAATTGCAATACGAACGACTTTTGGCTGAGGGTCACATTAGAATTCCTCACGGAATAGGCGATAAAAAAAAAAATAACAGAATCACGCTAGGGCACTCCCCTTTAGAGTTTAAACCCCTTTAGACCCTTTAGAACCAATTCATACCCCCCCCCCCCCCCCCCCCCCCTTGAAAGCCAACTCGCAAAAAACGAAATGAGCCCGAGGTCCTCTGCGAGAGCGCAGAAAAGCCAAAGAAAAAAAAAAGAAAAAAAAAAAACAGTTTTTCCGGCCGGACATGAAAATCTTCCTAGCTTACAACTCTTTTTTTTCTTTGTTTTCGGCCTTCAACTTTGCTCAATAATGTTTGATCGTCTATGAGAGTTTGCATTCTCGAAAATTGGTCATTCTCCCAAAAAATAAAAAATAAAAAGGGCCGGACCCGGACCTGGACAATTCATGTTTGGGGCCC